AAAGTTTTATAAATCGTATACGGATTTATTTATTTATTTATGCATTTATTTATTTATTTATGCATTTATTTATTTATTTATGTATTTATTTATGTATTTATTTATTTATTTATTTATTTATTTATTTAAAGTTATACAATACATAAAGAACTCCTTGGCACTTCTCTCATTAACGGGTTTACTTTATTTTGCACTTGTGAGCTCGTCTAAATATTAGGCTAAAACTTAACAAATCTTTGGAATTTGCAAGTTCTCGAGAGTAATGACTTCCCAGGGTTGCAACGTACGCTTCAAAATGAAGCCATTTCGACAGCGGAAATTCCATCTACAAAGTATCTTGTTTGCAAAGTCAGATTTACATGCGTCGAACTAACAAGGAAATTTATACGAAACTGTTTGTGCGAAGTTACGGCAAACCTAAGTTGAGAACAGCTGGTGAGGTTATATAGAACACAATGTTGCACAAGGTTAGATTACCTACTTCATATTCTTTGCATAACTTTGCCAAAACTGTTAAAGATGGAGAACATATTTCAACCTCGAACTGTCCAACAAAAGTTTAAGAGCATAATTATAACACTTAAGTATTTGCATAGGAGGTTGCATAGTAAGTATATGTTTCATAACAACGCTATCTAATATTGATTTAATACAATGAAATAATTCGAGCTCAAATGATCCACGAGTTTACGCAAAATATGTGCATATATGTTTTGACCATAAATCGGATTCCGAATTGTACTACACATATTTTTACTTCCAAACTTCTGGATTAAATAAATCGACGGATTTTATGAATGAAGAAATACATTTTAATTTAGAACATCTTTTTTGCTCAGTAGTTAATATGAATTTAGAAATGAAAATTTCTTTCTATTTCTGAATTTAAATCCTAAGCAGTTGAGGATTACTACGGTCATTGTGTAATCATTGCTCTATGATGTCTGAAGATACTACAAACAAATTTGTCTTCTGTTTGAAATGCACAATGTATCGAGGAGATATGTTACTAAGATTTTTTTTATGCCTAGTGAGCATGCAATTCCTTGAAAAACCTTGAAATGAACATCGAATTTTAAAACGTTCTCATAAAATTGGAAAATTTAAGAAGTTTAATCGAAATTAAATTAATCAGAGGAAGGTTATTGATTTTATACTGTGGATAACGTAGCATGTTGGAATCAGCATAAATCCTGGTAAACCAAATAATTAAAAATTGTTTGCCATTCATAAATATGTGGCAAATGATGTGCAGTATGTTCACGATACCTCGCGCAACTTTGTGTGCCTCAATGCTTATATTAACTTATTAGCGATCTCATCGTGATTGAAACGATGAATTAAAAATTACTAAAACATTAAGAAGTAATAGATGTGCAGGAATAAATGATGAAAAATTATTCATGAAAATTCAGATTGATTCTTTTACGCCTCCCTTGCACTTCACCATGAATTGTCACACACACACACACACAGACACACACATATATACACACATGAGCACACAAACCCACACGCACTTACACACACAGGCATACGTTACTGGGATCAGTCGGAAGCACGGCGATGTATTTTGCTATCACAAACAGTTTCTGACAAGTAATGGATGCTTTAGAGGCGACCTCCACGGGTTCGAACGGAAAGATATCCCGGATTGTTCTGTATGCAATCTGTTGTCGAGGACGCCGCACAGTTGGGATGGCGGGTTGTGATTTTTCACAATTAGAACTGCTGAACTAAGACTCGTGGAGAAAGAGACGTAAATCTCTTGATGCCACTGGAACATTAGAAATATTGTAGAAGAGATATGTTATGTGGCTGAGGCTCTCTAATCCCCTCCCCCCAATGCAATTCCTATTGCCGCTTTCGCGGGGAGGATGGAGAAGGGAGGTTTAGTTTTATTGAGAAAAAAATGTCCCCTTGGTAGCACCGGCTGCCCGGTGTTTTTTAAATATTCTATCTACCCTTGTATCAAACGCGCACGCTTGCACATGCGCATGCATTCGCTCACGCAAACACACACACGCCCCGACCATATCCAGAGTCACATGTGAATACAGAATTTTGCATTAGTTTTTGTGTGCACTGCAGTTTTTTTTCTGTTCTTTCTCCTATAATTTTGGTCTTTCCAACTAGTGTATACAAAAATGTCTGTATTATTTTAAAAGTTTGTCTTGGTTAAAAAATAAACAAATTAAAAATGTCACCAAAATTAATATTGTACGTTAATCCTTTATTATTTAGCTACCATTTATTACTCTACTCCTTCAAAAAATTGGTCTCATGTCTCACTTAGAAGTTTCAACAAAAGGGTGCACTCTAGCAGCACCTTCACTTTCTTTATAATGCTATCATCAGAAGGAGTGGTGACTCGTTTCGCAGACATTTAACATCAATCAAAACCGTGTGAGCTTCTCCAGAGAGGTGTCACCGATGTCACTTCTCTGAGCACTGATGAAGGGAATAGATGTCACGGCAAAGAATGGATCGTCCAGGAAAGAAAGATTACCTCGTTTTTGCGCTGTAACTCTGTGACAGCATCGTCAAATACGTAGACATGCAATAAATTTCCAGGAATAAGAATTAATAAAATGAACATTAATAGTGTTTTGTTGCTTTGCTCTCGAATGTCTTTTCTAAAATATTGTCTATTTTGTAATATTCTTTGCTCTTTGTCAATTGTAAGTAGGTACTTAAGAGATTCTTCCAAGTTCCCATTCTTTTAACCTAATGTGATAAAAGCAATATACACAGTACCTTTGTTTGATATTGAAAAATACTTCTTTAATAACAGAATATCGATCATTATAAGATTTATAAAATTCATTTTACCGTCAGGAATGTTTCATAATAATGTCCACATTTTTTCGTATATACTCTTAGATACGAGTGCTTCGATTCAGAATGCATTGACGTTTACATGTGTTTGTTGCGTACGCAAAATCAGCCCTCAACTACACTTGTTATTAATTCGTGTATTGTGTCAGTCTCATAGAATACTCAATCATTCATCATTAACCAGTCTACCTCGCATTGTTTGAATAATAAAGCCTCTTTAGCAATTTATTTACCACTAGGATATAAAACTTCAAAAACATTAATCGATGCAGATGCCGACTTTAAGAAAAAGGAGGTACGGTACGGAGATTAATCAGAATCATATTTGTTGTCAAAAAAGAAAGAAACAAAAGAAAGGAGTTGGAAACAAATGAGTTGATCATAATCATTCTTCAATACCTTATCGGAACGTTTATCACTATAGTTTCATAGATGATTACCTCTATCCCTATGACGATAATGAAATCTACGATTTGGGTGATCTCGTGTATTACAAAAACTAAATTTCCATAAAAATTAATAATATAATAATGTAAAACACATTTAATGTTGTACAATATTATAGATAATAATGCTTCCCAAAATGAGGATATTGCTGCGTGAATTAGTAGGTATTGAAACTATAGCTGTTCTAAATTATCACATTTTGCAATTTCAATTTAACATTCTCCACCTTAATGTTAAACTGTTACCAGTCTCTTTGAGAGTATGCATCTTCATGCTACTTTGCTCCATTAATTTTGTCGGCAGAGTTCAGAAACATTCCTTGGAACGATATAAATTCATTTCTGAGAATATCTCGCTAAATTCACGGAACGGAACAATTACGAAAGTTGTTGGAAGTTATTACAAACTAATAAACGTGGTTGCGTTTCTCGAAGTGATACTGTTCATGCGTTTTAAACCTCGAATTTCATTTACATTCATTGACTGGTGGAAGTTTCCTTTCTCCTGTAAAACCTCAAACGGCTCACTGGCGTTAGGTTCCTTGGCGATTAAAGTTGATTGCATTCAGCAACTTTCCTTTTGGTATCATCTTAACATTCAGAGGATGTCGCCGAAGAAATATTCATATTAATCCATTTACAGAGATTCTGTTTCAGTGTGAATTCTCAATAGATCAACTGAGATTTTAGAGGCATAATAATACACAATAGACTCTTGCAATATTCAAATGAGCAAACTTACTTTCTGATTTTAACAGAATAATGATTTTAAGAGTCCAATCATTTTGAAACGTCGGGATTTTACCAGAATTGTGATTTTAATAGAATTGTGATCGAGAAATTTGATACGATTATCTACCCAAGATAAATATATTATTTGTTTATTATTCTTAATTATTTTAGTCTTTAAATTGGTACACTTTTATTTTCTGATCAATTAATTAAGAGATCAACACAAAATGGTTCAAAGTATTTAAAAAATGATGGCAGTAGAGTAGTGGCATTGAAATGCATTGAAAATACCTAGACACTATTATGCCGACCTGGCCACGCAGGAAACTTAGCTTACGTACGTGTTACACCAAAAGTTGTGGGTTCAAATCTCCCGTAAGTGCTTTTTTATCGTGCGCTTGTGGTAGGGCGGCCATTTCACAACCCTATACATTGCATAACCCTCAATCATTCATCCAAAATATTTTCCACGCCAGGTTTATAAGACCGAAGATTTTGTTACAGGGTACCGGGCACACCAAGAAATAACTAGTGGTGCTACAACTGCATACACAATCTCGTAATATTTTCTAACTTTTTCAATTTTCAAAAATTCAGAAAGGTCAACGAAAATGACTTTCCGGATGGGGTGGGGTGGGGTGGGAAGAGATTTAATGTTCCATCCTGGCAATGACTACGGAGGAGATAAGAGGTGGAGATCTGCCTGATGTAGACTTCAGACCGAAAGGTAAATAACAACCATAGTCGTCTGTTCATCTCAGAACTCTTGCAATTCTCTTACGAAATTTCGCTATTTGAGGTTTTCTTCTATCCTTACCAGGTGACATTACTTCTTGTATTTTAATTACTCCCGGATAGTTACTAACAAACCAGTGGAATTCGCAGACATCGTATTATCTATTGATTTTATTTCTATTTTTGCTAAAGGTATGGTAAATTTGTTTAGAATTCCAAAATAACTTTCAATGTACTTTGTAACGAAATATGTTTTTTGCAGGTCGTTGCGATCATGGCAGCCCTTGCGAACAAATCTGTCAGGATCTACATGATGGAATGTTTGAATGCGACTGTAAAGAAGGATTTGTTCTACATCGTAATGGATACGGCTGTCTCGGTAAGTGCATTACTTTACACTCCTTTCTCTTGGTAGATCTATATGATGAATAGCCTATTTCACGTATGCGTGCATCCTCAAATGAAAAGTGTTACGGAAAGTTATTTTGCGTTTTATTCTGGAAAGCTAATTAGTACAATAAATATGTAAACTCGTCAGCGTGCTTAAATATGTTTTTTAAATGCATTTAAAATTTGAAAAATGTTGGTTTGATTACTGATTATGCTGCTAATAGTAGTAATTTTCTAGATGGAAGTGAGTGGCAAGTGGATTAACGATCAGGTTTTGGGAGGGTTGAAATGCAAGAACATATAGGAGGTCCAGAAAGTAAGCGTCGTATTCCGAATGGCTGTGCCGCAGTACTCACTCGGAAGTTAGATTTTAAAAATTATTTCTAGGAAAAATGCGCATTGCGGAAGAAAAGAAATACTCCACAAACATGTAAATTGTTTATTATTTACAAAAGAAATGAATATATTTGTTCAGAAAGAACAATTGACACACATAAAAACACCCAATTTTTACAATTGGACTGTTTTTTTATTTCTGGGTTAATTTTTGTTTGTAAGTTTTTGTAAGTTTTTTGTTTGTATGTTTTTGTTTGTAAGTTTTGTTTTGCTTGTTTAATTTTTGTGTATATTCATTTCTTTTGCAAATAATAAACAATTTACAGGTTTTTGGAGTTTTCTAGGCTTCTTTAAAGCATGTGTTTCCCTAGAAAACATTGTTTCAAACGCAAATTTGAATGCTTACTACGTAACCTACGAACATAACCAACAAGATGATCCGAACCTTTACCAGAGAATCAGTCGAATTCATGGGACTCCAATGCACGAAAGAAAACTGTCAGATTGAGATAAGTGCATGTCGCATGAAAGACAAAGTGCATGGACAGAAGGCAGGCTGCTTCGAGATGCGCAGTAGTCTGAAAAGGCAAGTCTTTCACTACAGCAAATGAGCGTCACTTGCTGGTAAAGGTTCGGGTAATATCTTCAATATGCTATGAAGAGTACTTTCTGCGGATACACGTTATGGAAAAAGGAAAAGAGACCATCGCTTTTGAGGAATAACGTGCGTTTTGAACATAGTTGTATTATTGCATTGTTTGGGGATTTTACGGAAAAATACTAGGATTAATCGATATTTTTATACAAAATTGTAGAAACTTCTTGAACTTCGAATTATTGGAATCAATGTAATAAACAGAATCGGAAAATGAGCAGTAATCTACCGTTAGAAAAGACAGGAAGCTGTTGTTCATATAATTTAGAAAAAACACAACGAAATATCCTAATACTTTATTTTTGCATGTAATTATTGTAAACGTAATCCAAAAATATAAAGCAACACTTAAATTCCGATACAATTCTTCTGAAGTAAAAAAAAACCTGAAGTAAAAGCCTTTTAGCTCTGTGTTCTTGGAGGTACTTTGAGGGGGACTTCCCAGCTAGCCCAGGGTAGATCGACGCCAGATCTTTCCATCCTGCGCGGAGGAATACCGCCACCTCTCGGAATAACAAACATTCACTACACTAACGGGACTAATACAAGCTTACCAGCAAAATCAATTAATCAATAGAAAAATATGATTTTTGTTTGCTGTAATTCCCTTTGTTTTCAGTCACGATACTAAAATGAGGACTTTTGTGCAGTAGCAAAGATTTCATTCTCGCCTTACTTCGCCAGAAGACAACTTATTGTAATTGTGCGCCAGAAATGGACAAGCTTTGGACAGCCGATCACTGGTAACGTAAAAGCGTAAAAATCTATTTCCTGTAAGTAAATTACATCCTCACGCACGTTGTGTAGTCACAATATATGTTTTGTAAGTCCTTGATACCGAAAAATCGATTGTTGGCAAAACGTGTCTTTGGGTTCAATGCTAGCGCTCGAACCGTTTGAACGATTACCACTAAAATCGATATTCTCAGATCGATCAGAATGAATTAAAAGATCTGTGAGTTTGGAGTGCGTAGGTGTTCGGCGAGTATGTGCGAGTGTGCAACGGGTAGATATATTTTTTTTGAACACAAGTATTTTCGCGTAATTTTTGCTCGAGGTTAATGTAATTTATAAAAAACATAATTTCTCAAAAAGGCCTTAACTTTCTTCCTTGTATATTTCGCAGCAAAAGACTCTTACAAAATGGTACAGGGCTCATTTTTGTTGAACTCTCGGTATTTTTAAAAATTGCGAAAGTAAGAAATAATGCGATTAAGTATGTGGTGGTTTAGCTCCCCTAAGTCATTGTATACTGCCAAAAGTAACTCAGGGCGACAACCGATGTCATGTCCGTGCCTCTCATCTGGAGGTTCTACGGTTCGAGGTCCGACGGCACAAGCTAGTTAGGTCGCATTCAGCCGCTATCTGGAGGATAATTCTAGCTGCTTTCTCCATTCATCAGGCAAATGCCGGAGCAAACGGGCCACTGATCGCACACGATGTTTTCTTCCTCTTCCTTGTCCTATCCTCACTTTTACATACACTTAGTCATATCCACTACTTTATCACACAAGTCAGAAGACAAGTCGAGAGCTTAGAGCGTCTCTTCGCTGCTGGGTGATACCTGGTTGGGGATAATCCCCGCAAGCCGAAGTAGCTTGGCGCCAGATCTCTCCTCCCAGCGGAGTAAGATCACCGCCACCTCTCGTGACGAAATCATGCACTACACCTACTGGACGAATGATCTTAGCACTTAAGGCGCCCGGAATCACTAATCAGTCAAATAAGGTGACTGTATTTTACGACTTATAAATAATAAATAATTTCTAGAAAATCATAAAATTAAATACATTTCAAAACAACTTGATTTCTGTAATCGTTGATTATTTTCGCGAAAGCTTTTTCTTGGAACCTCCTGGCAATTACAGCCAGTCATGCTTTGTATATGAACGTCAAAATGTATGCCGGAAATTAAAATAAAACAATACGTTTCCTTGTGCCGTTAGAGATAATGTGTCAAAAAATAAAGAATGTTTCATGCCTCATTTCTCATGAAATGAGATTTGGGATTAACAGTCATCGGCTTTGAATTACAACTATCCAAACTACTTTCCTATGAATTTTTTGCAATGATTTTTACTTCCCAGTAAGTTAGTGTGTATGTACCGCTGAAAAAAAAATGTTGTCGAGGTCTTCACGGAATTTTGTTTTTTGGGGAGGGGGATCCCAGATATACAAAAATTGGTCACTGAATAGCCCATACTGCCCAGTGTGTGAGATTTTTACTTATTAACTCCGAACCTCGGGACCTAGTGACTCAATCACATGACTTATCTATTATATCCTGGTATTACTCGAGTGGAATCAGGCGATTTACCTCCGTTCTTTCTCCAGGCGTGTTAATTCCACCAGTACTCACGAAGGGCAAAAAATTGGAGTTCCCGTTTGCGACTTGAAAAGTTACCACGCACTGTATCCCCTAGGAGTAGGGATGGAAGTTGTGAAGAAGTGTTATCACTAGATACGTATTTAAAAATTATTCAACAGGTGTTTATTTATTTTTCAATATAAAATGTAATTTCTCGAGAATTGCAAAAGAATCTTCATTTTTAAAATTAAAGCATCCTATATCACGAATAAAAAATGTTTTAGTTGAAAGTAACGTTTTTCAGCGTAATACCGAATATGAAATGAAAATGGGGGTTCCCATTTAACATTTCAACGTTGCTCCACACCCGAGTGCGAGGTTTGACTTCAGGTCTGGCAGATGTACCCCATGGAGATATTCTTTTGTCTGGGAAATTTTTTGTACGATGCGTAATTTTCGGGTTATTTTGTTAGGTTACAGTGAAACGACGTCTCATCTTTAGATGTCTGATTAGGTAATTGAAGCTAACTCTTAAGTTACCAATGCTAAATGTTTTTTGGCTATTAAAAAACCGTCTCATACCATCAATCAGGAGCGTTTATTAGTAAAACGTCGTTACTGTTAAGTTTCGAGTAATGCAATACTATGGCTTCGCATATATCGTCCGTCACAATCCGAGAGTTTATCTGTATGATGATCTGATTTTCTCAGTTTAAAATCTGGAGTATCTGAGAGTTCAATCTTAGTACCAACGCTTTTTAAACTCAGTTGCAGATTTATCCCAACAATCATTATCTTATGTTTCATCCTACGCTTATGACACAATGTTACTGCTTTCTTTCATTTGTCTGATAATTATGATGCCATCGATAGGGTGAATAATAATTTTCAGATCGTAAGAAAATGATCATCAGACAATGTTCTTATTATAAATGCAAATAAATATCAATATTTTGTTGGGGATCCATAACAGATTGTTCAAATACAATGCTACTTTGCTTACATGTGGTGATATATGATTCCTCGTACAGAATTTCTTGAGATGCTGTCTTGTATTCAACCTTGACTGGAATTTGAATGATCACGTGATCTTCAAATATCAGGATTGATGGTATGTTGCTTGTTTTTTTTTGCGTATAGTTATTTTCTACTCAAAAATCGAAACTTCAACTTACTGGATCACGCACTAGTCCTATTACTATTTAATTATTCTACTGTTGAATGTGGGTGATTCCTTTCAAGCGCATAAAAAATGAAGTTCAAAACCAAGACATGAATTCAATATTTTCTGTTTTCCTAATTAGGAAATTTGACCATGTAATGTCCTTATTTAATAGGATGGCTAATATGAGTTGTCGGTGGCTTTTACAGTATTATTTACATAGATTGCTCCGAAATGATTCATCAACCAATAATTCACCGAACGGACGTTATCACATTACATTTTGCAATGAATTTTAATCTCGTAGATCGTACTTACTCGCTCATCTACTCTACTGGCAATCCCTGGACATAGGAAAACAAAATTTCAATCTACGTGTACATATTTAGCTCTTTCAGTATACAATAGACTGCCTGATCACATTCCGAACTCATCGCTACCAGATTTACGGAACTCGCTATTCAATTTTGTAATTCAGTGTTATAGTTTTTATTTTTCATTTTTTAAATTGTAAAAAGAATTTGTATC